AGTGGAAAATAAGAGCCACATACCTATAAATATTAATACACATTTACACATAAATATATGCATATACATTTATATACACATATTTATATGGGGAAAACCTTTGATGATTTTATAGTAATTGTAATGCCTTATATACTATTTTCTTTGAGAGTTACACTGCATATTTGATACCAAAATTCCACAAAGTTAGTAATGGAACAAAAAAGGCAACAGATACATAATGGACACATCTTATAGAAAATGGAAGGACAAGTACAGAACTCCAAAAGTCAACACATTTACATTTCCATTCAAATATACTAAGAAGATTGGAGTGAGTTGAAATAAGAGGAAAATTTGGAGGAGACATGTTTCTTTATCTTCATCTCAAGATGAGCAAACACAATCTGAAAAAAATAATTCCAGATTATAAATATTTCTATTAAAATAATGACATCATGGTAGATTTATACATAAAAATTTTATAGTTCAAGTTAGTATGACTATTAATCCAGCTTCATTGACTGGAATGAAAAAAAATTATTTTTCTACTTTTGATGGCAGCTTAAGTATGAAGTGTCTTCAAACTGTTTAGGGAAAGAGTGTGTTTTGAAAAAAATTATTCACTGTGTTCAAAACTTTTTGCACCAAGATAAACTTTTAATTTTGTTTTCCACAAACTTTTTGAAATTCCTTTGTATATTCATCCAAATGCCTAAGACTTCAGCTTTTCAAAATAAGTATTCTAATGATTTTTAGTGAAAATATACAAGCATGGTACATACAGTATGCTGAATTTACAAACCATATAAGCTATATAGAATGAAAAGAATCCATGTTTTCTTGATGACTTGTGATCTCTATTTATTCATCCATTCACAGGTTCTAAGAGTTACTTAATGTCCAGGTACCAGTACTGTGTAGAACCATGATGAGAGGGATTGAGTGAGGAATGCACAGAAAATAAAATGCAGACCTTGCCCTTAAGGCATTCCCAATGAATAAATGGGAGGCTTGTAAACAACAGATGGTTGTTGGCAATGCATGAGGCTTTCATCAGTGATGAGAATTGTAAAAGGTTAGCTCCATACTCATATTCTACAGAATGTTCCTAAACCATTCACTGTTCTGTGAGTGTCATTAAAAGTCCCCCATCCAAGTGGTGGCCTAAAACTCTATACTGTTGAGCTGTCACATGACTGTGACCACAGAGATTTTCCCTCTGAGAATCACACATCCTTGCCATTGTTAGCATCCTGTGTGCCTTCCACATTTTTTTTACTCCAGTAACCTAGGCTAGAACCTTGGGTTCTAGAAAGTTGACTTACCAAATATATTACATACAGCAAAGCAAATAGACTATTTGAGCACGGTACATGCATTTTATGAGTGCTGATGTTGATTTTATTTGGGGTTCAAGTCAATGATATCTTCTGATCTGCAACTTTTCTGAAAAGTGCTGAATAAAGGAGGGTTTTTAAATAATTCCCTTTTTTCAAGACTGGATTTAAGGTAAGACTGTGTAAAATGTGTCATGTTATGGAGTGTGATTAACAAATTAGATAAAATCAAATCCAAATAGGAATAATGTAGAGAGGTTGTTATTCATGAACTCAAAAATACACGAGCCAAACCTTCTAAGTTATTAATATCTGTGCATGCAGGTGGTATTTTTCAACAAAATCTGCCTAATAAAAATAACTAAACCATGAAATAGATTGTTATAGTGGTAAATATTTAAAATCCCCAATTATAGACTTTACTGTTCAGAACATACTACCATGAAGTCTCCTTAGTCAATTAAGTATTTAATATTTACATTGTTTAGATGATCCAATTACTCCTCAAGTAAATAGAAAAATATGTGTTCTCAATCTTGACTCTATTTAATGAAGAAAGCAGCCAAGAGAATTTTGCTTTGAAATTTGTTTCAATGAGTACATTAGAATTTGAGAAACACATTTGCATTTAATGTGTATAATATCTGGTCTCCTAGGTTTACATTAGATTAGAGAAGAAAACAAATTATATATGAATCTATAGTGTCTCATAATTTCCTAAGGTGGCCACAGTGAATTAGGTTAATGGGAAGCTGAATCTATATAATGTCATAATCCATATTTATATTGTACCATAAATGTATGACTTTTGTAGAAACAAGCAACCATAACACCAAACATCTGGATGAAATCTGAAAATTTCAGTGACATATCCAGATATCTCTACACATCTGGAATTTTTAGATTTAATGTTCCAACTGCTTCCATTTTTGTCTGGGCACTTGAAACACTGTAGACACTGTCTAACAAATATTTATTCACATCATAAAGATGTGAAAACATGGAAAGAATCATTGTACAAATACAATTTTCAGATTTAATCATATCCCAGTGACTAAAGCAGCTCTGGCAGTTAATGTAGACAACCCAATGTCAACAGGCCCTGCAGACTTAACCAAGTAGTTCAGTGGCAAAGTGGGGGAGTTGAAGTGAAGAATTCGAACCAAGAATGCTTTAAGGTAAGGATGAAAAAGAAAGAAAAGAAAGCTTCTCCACTTCTCCTGCCTGCAAGGATAGACATATGTCTGCCTGCCAGTGGGGTCCCTCAGCTAGTTCCAAGCCACCAGCAAACTCTGCTCTGCAGATCTGCAGCTGTGCATTGAGGTTGGGGGTGCTTGATGGAAGGGGTATAGGGACAGAATACATTGCATGACTAACAATTGAAACCCTATTTATTGGGCTGCCTCTTGCCTTTATCATTGATTTTAGCACAAAGCTGGTGATAGATGAATCATTTTTCTGTCTCTATAGTTTTCAGATCTGAAACTTGTTTTCCCCTTTACAAATCAATCTTGTAAAACAGGCTCTTTGATATAGTCATACAAGTTTTACTATCCCACTTTTTTTGCATTTTTATTTATTTCAAACACACACATACGGAGAGGGCAACAAAGAGGGATCTCCCACACAGTGGATCACTCTCCAAATGCTAGCTACTGCCAAGGCTGGGACAGGTTGAACCAGGAACAAAGAATTAGTCAGTATATCCCAAATGTGTGGCAGAGACTCAAAAACTTGAGATTTCACCTGCTGCCTCCCAGGATGTGCATTAACCAGGAAACTGGAATCAAGAATGGAGGTAGGACTTGAACCCAGTCACTCTAATTTGAGATTGCAGGTGTCCCAAGCAGAGTCTTAATCTCTACACCAAGTGCCTCCCCCCCCATGCTTTTAAGAAAACTGAATACTCACTAGCTATTGTGAGCCATGGATAAATAACATGTTGAAAAATAAATAACTCTTAGGCTGGCGCTGCGGCTCACTAGGCTAATCCTCCACCTTGGGGCACCCGCACACCAGGTTCTAGTCCCGGTCGGGGCTCCAGATTCTGTCCCGGTTGCCCCTCTTCCAGGCCAGCTCTCTACTGTGGCCAGGGAGTGCAGTGGAGGATGGCCCAAGTGCTTGGGCCCTGCACCCAATGGGAGACCAGGAGAAGCACCTGGCTCCTGGCTTCAGATCAGCGTGGTGCACCAGCCACAGCACACTTGCTGCAGTGGCCATTGGAGGGTGAACCAATGGCAAAAGGAAGACCTTTCTCTGTCTCTCTCTCTCACTGTCCACTCTGCCTGTCAAAACAAAAAAATCAATAACTCTTGTTGTGACAAATAAATTTGATGTAAGAAACATTAATCTCTTGATATTATTAAAACCAATCTTATGAAATCTCATTCTTCTTTCCAAAAATGAACCAAAGTAATAATTCATGTGATGAGCAGGAATTTGGAAAACATTATGTTGAGTGAAATAAGCCAATCCCAAAGGGACAAATACCACTTGTTCTCCTTGATAGGTGACAACTAACTGAGCACCAAAAAGGAAACCTGTTAAAGTGAAATGAACACTCTGAGAAAAGGTGACTTGATCAGCCCTCACCCTGACTGTTGATGAGCAGCTTAATATGTTATCCCTCTTAGTATTTTTTTTGTTTGTTCTACTTAATACTTTTGGTTGAATACTGTAATCAATACACAATTCTTCTTAAGTGCTGAAACTTAACTGAAAAGTGATCGCTGTTAAATATAAGAGTGGGAATAAGAGATGGAAGAGATGTGCAATTCGGGACATGCTCAAGCTGACTTACCTCAAACGGTAGAGTTAGAAACATACCAGGGGATTCGAATTCAATCCCATTGAGGTGGCATGTACCAATGCCATCTCACTAGTCCCAGTGATCAATTTCTGTTCACAATTGATCGTAATGATAGGACTAAGAACCAAAGGGATCACATAAACAAGAATAGTGTCTGCAAATACTAGCTGATAGAATCAAAAAGGGAGAGAATGATCCAACATGGGAAGTGAGATACACAGCAGACCCATAGAATGGCAAATGTCCTAACAGCACTCTGGCCTCAGAATCAGCCCTTAAGGCATGCGGATCTGGCTGAAATGCCCATGAGAGTATTTCAGGCATGGAAAGCCAAGACACTCTGGGGGGGGAAAAAAAACCTAAATGAAAGATCTCCACGAGTGAGATCCCAGTGGAAAGAATGGGTCATCAAAGAAGGAGGTACCTTTCTCTGAAGGGAGGAGAGAACTTCCACTTTGACCATGGCCTTGTCTAAATATGATCAGAGTCAGTGAACTCAGGGGGCTTCCATAGCCTTGGCAGCTCATGACAAGAGCCTAGGGTGATTACTGATGCCATAAACAAGAGTGTCAATTTGTTAAGTCAACAACAGGAGTCACTGTGCACTTACTCCTCATGTAGGATCTTTGTCCTTAGTGTGCTGTACATTGAGATTTAATGCTATAAATAGTACTCAAACAGTATTTTTCACTTTATGTTTCTGTGTGGGAGCAAACTGTTGAAATCTTTACTTAATGTATGCTAAACTGATCTTCTGTAGATAAAGAGAATCGAAAATGAATCTTGATGTGAGTGGAAGGGGAGAGGGAGTGGGAGAGGGGAGGGTTGCGGGTGGGAGGGACGTTATGGGGGGGAAGCCATTGTAATCCATAAGCCGTACTTTGGAAATTTATATTCATTAAATAAAAGTTAAAAAAAAGAAAAAAAAAACAAACCAATGGAGAGGAAATTAAGTAACAAACTATATAGATTCAAAATGAGGGAGAAGAGGAAACTACTAAAACAGGAAACAAAGTAAGATGCTAAATTCAGGTAAAACATATCACAAAATTTTAAATGTAAATTAACTAAGTGATCCAGCTAGAAATCAAAATTTTCTTATTTAATGGAAAACCAGTTAATTATTTGCTATTTAGGATACAATCCTTAAATGTTTAAGAGTAAAAATGTTGAAAATATACCTACACATTTTGAATAGAAGACTCTCTTGAGATCTGACAAGACAGACTTTCATGCAGGAACTATTACTAGATATATTCAGAGAGATTTCATAATGATATAGTTATCAATTCAGTGGGAAGATATAGAATTCTAAATTCTTATGTAGGTTAATATGGGAAGAGTTTTAGCACTTGTCTTTTTTTTTCTTAAAATTTTAAGCTTTTTATTTAGTGAGAGAAAGAACTTACCTTCAGAAACAGTAAAGATTCAGGTGAAAACAACAAAGAAAATTAAGAACATGCTCATAATTCATATTCATATGAATTGAACATGAGTTTTGCTGCACATAGAATCTTTCATAAAATAAACTTTATTAGGGTGAGCGTAGTGGCACAGTAGGTTAAGTCAACACTTACAGTGCCCATGTCCCGTATCAAATGCTTAGTTTGAGTCCCTGCTACTCTTCTTTTCCAGCTTTTATGAATGTGCCCAGGAGACACAGAAAATGGTCCAAGTCTTTGAGTTCCTGCCACCCTTGTGGAGTGAGTTCCTGGTTCCTGACTTTGGCCTAGCCTAGTCCCAGCTGTTGCGGGTATTTGGAGTGTGAACCAGCAGTTGGAAAATCTCTCTCTCCCTTTTTCTCTCAATGTTGCTTTTGATCTGCAATACAAAGAAATAAATTCAATTTTAAAAAGATACACTTGATCAGCAGCCACTTCCCCTCCCAGGTGTAGGTTAGGCTTGACTAACTTGTGTTGACTAATGAGAGCCATGTGAGGCAGAAGTTGAAAGGGATAGGTTTTGTGTTACCATGTTCCCTTTTCCTTGTGCTGTCATGGGACAGGATTCTACTATGCTTGCTTGGCACGCCTGGGTAACAAAGATAGTATGACTTCTGTGAGGAGAGTCCCCTGCCACAAATGATGGACCTGTACAGTGAGTAAACCAGCAATCGGTTACTATAAAACCCTGCGAGTCACAGTGTTAACCTAGCCTTCCCACCTTGACCTCGTCAACTCTCCCTCCATCCCCTACCCCATGGCCACTGTCCAGCTTATGTTTTATTCACATTCACATTTTATTCAGATTCATGATAGGAGGAGGAAACCATATTAGATGATTTATATTTTCAAGATTTATTTATTTATTTAAAAGTCAGAGTTACAGAGAGGCAGAGGCAGAGGCAGAGAAAAAGAGAAAGAGAAAGAGAAAGAGAAAGAGAAAGAGAAAGAGAAAGAGAAAGAGAAAGAGAAAGAGAAAGAGAAAGAGAAAGAGAAAGAGAGGTCTTCCATCTTCTGGTTCACTCCCCAGATGAACACAATAGCTGGAGCTGTGCTGATCCAAAGCCAGAAACCAGGAGCTTCTTCTGGGTCTCCCATGGGAGTTCAGGAGCCCAAGGACTTGGGCCATCTTCTACTTCTTTCCCAGGCCATAGCAGAGAGCTGGATCAGAAGTGGAGCACCCAGGACTCAAACCAGCACCCGTATGGGATGCTAGTACTGCAGGTGATGTGTTTACCTGCTACATCACAGTGCTGGCCACAAGATTATATACTTTTATGAATGCTATAAGCAACTAGCACTGAAAGAAATTATAAAAAGGAGATTTAATAGGTAACACTTGTATAGAAACTACTTAGTGACTCTGTTTCCAAATAATTCAGGAGCATATTGTTATGATCTGTTTTCATAGGTTAATATTAAATAGAAATTTATTTTTAGATACATCCATCAGGAATGTCATATGTGCATACATCTGTATGTTCTCTGAATGGTTGAGAGCGAAATAAAATAATTGCTTACATCTGAATCGATACATTTGGTGAATAGTGATAGGTTTTAAGAGGGATATAATTTTTTCTAGTTAAAAATCGCTCTTCTCACACCTGGTAGGAAGACAGGATGTGAATGGCTGGCAGTGAGGCAAGATTGTTGCAGATTCTCTATCTTAGGAGAGTAGTGGGCTGGAGGGCTGGGGGGAAGAGGGTAGAGCTCATTAACGAGGTAGAGTGGGAGGAAATTAAAATCAGCTGTGGGTCAGAACAGCTTTAAGAAGCAGGAGAATTGTGGCAGTGACTGCATGGAGTTCCTGATGAACAGATTGCAGAGTGAAGCAGTGCAGCCTGAACAGGCTGTATTTGCATGGGCGTTCATTGAGGCCTTCAGTATGGGGAGTCAGAGCAGGTAAAAGGAAAAAGGGCAAGGAGGGGAGCAAGGCCCAGGACTTGGAGGGCGAGGAGGGGAGCGGGCTTCGGACCTGGAGGTCATGAGTAGAGCAGGGCCCAGGCCCTGGAGACTGAGGAGGGGAGCAGAGTCTGCCCCTGGATTGCAAGGAGGGGAGTGGGGCCCAGGCCCTGGAGGGCCAGAGGGGAGCAGGGCCAGGCCCTGGAGGGCAAGGAGGGGAGTGGGCCCAGGCTCTAGAGGGCCAGAGGGGAGCGGGGTTTTGCCTGGAGAATGAGGAGCAGAGCTGAGTCCGGCTCTGGAGGGGGAGGATGGGAGCTGGGCCCAGTGCCTGGAGGGCAAGGAGGGCAGCGGGGTCTGGCCCTGGAAGGCGATGAAGGGAGCTGGACCCAGACCCTGGAGGGTGAGGAGGGGAGCAGGGCCAGGCCCTGAAGGGCGAGTAGTGCAGCAGAGCTTGGCAAGAGGGCGAGGAGTGGAACAGGGCCCAGGCCCTGGAGGGCGAGGAGTGGAGCAGGGCCCAGGCCCTGGAGTGGGAGGTGGGGAGTGGCACCCATCCCTGGAGAGCGAGGAGGGGAGCAGGGTCCGGCACTGGAGGGTGGCAAGGGGAGCGGGGCCCAGTCCCTGGAAGGCTAGAGGAGGAGCAGAGTTTGGCCCTGGAGGGTGAGGAGGGGAGCAGGGTCCAGTCCCTGGAGGGCGATGAAGGGAGTGGGGCCCATTTCCTGGAGGGTGAGAAGGGGAGTAGGGTATGGCCCTGGAGGGTGAGGAGGAGAGCAGGGTATGGCCCTGGAGGGTGAGGAGGGAACAGGGCCCAGGCCCTGGAGGGTGAGGAGGGGATCCTGGCTGGGCTCTGGAGGGCAACGAGGGGAGCAGGACCCAGTGCCTGGAGGGCGAGCAAAGGACCATGGCACAGGCCCTGGAGGGCTAGAAAGGAAGCGGGGCCCACTCCCTGGAGGGCGGTGAGGGGAGCAGGGCCCAGCCCTGGAGGGCGGTGAGGGAGCACGGCAAGGCCCTGGAGTGTGAGGGGGAGTGGTTGCCGTCCCTGGAGAGTGAGGAGGGAGCGGGGCCCAGGCTCTGGATAGGGAGGAAGGGAGCGGGTCCAGCCCTGAGGGTGATGACATGAGCAGGGCCCATTCCCTGGATGGCAAAAAGGGGAGTGGGGCCAAGCCCCTTGAGAGCGAGCAGAGGAGCAAGGCCCAGGCCCTGGAGTGTGAGGAGGGGAGCGGGGCCCAGGCTCTGGATAGCGAGGAAGGGAGCAGGGTCCAGCCCTGGAGGGTGATGACATGAGCGGGGCCCATTCCCTGGATGGCAAAAAGGGGAGTGGGGCCAAGCCCCTTGAGAGCGAGCAGAGGAGCAAGGCCCAGGCCCTGGAGTGTGAGGAGGGGAGCGGGGTCTGGACCTGGAGGGCTGTGAGGGGAGCATCCTCCAGCCCTGGAAGTCAGCAAGCTGAGCTGGGCCCAGGCCCTGGAGGGCAAGGAGGCCTGCACCTTAGGAGAGCATTTTCTGGCCCTGGAAGGCAAGGAGGGGAGCAGGGCCCAGTCCCTTTAGGGCAAGCAGAGGAGCAGGGCCAAGGCCCTTTAGGGCAAGGAGGGGAGCTGGGTTTGGCCCTGGAAGGCGCTGAGGGGAGCAGGGCCCAGGCCCTGGTGAGTGAGGAGGGGAGTGGTGTCTGGCCTGGAGGGTGGCTATCAGGCCCAAATAACAAGATGGAGACTCAGTCTAAAATAAGTGAACCGTGATCTAGGCTCAGATCTCTCACCTCCAGGGCCGGGCCCAGCTCACCTGTTGCCTTCCAGGACCTGGGCCCCGTTCCCCACGCTGCCCTCCAGTGCAGGACCCGGCTCCCCTCCTTGCCCTCCAGGGCCCGGCCCTGCTCCCCTCCTCGCTCTCTAGGGCCTGGGCCCAGCTCCCCTCCTTGCCCTTGAAGGCCTGGCCCAGCTCACCACCGCAGCCTCCAGGGCCTGGGCCCCCTACCCTCCTCACCTCCTCGGCCCTGCCCTGCTCCCCTCCTTGCCCTCCAGGGCCTAGTCCCGGATCCCCTACTCGCTGTCCAGGGCCCTGCCTTGCTCCCCTCTTCGCCCTCCAGGGCCCTGCCCTGCTTTCCTTGCCACCCTCCAGGACCTGACCTGCTCCCCTCCTCGCCCTCCAGTGCAGGACCCCGCTCCCCTCCTTGCCCTCCAGGACCTGACCCGCTCCCCTCCTCGCCCTCCAGGGCCTGGGCCCAGTTTCCCTCCTTGCCCTCCAGGGCATGGGCCCCGCTCCAATCCTCACCCTCCAGGCCCAGGCCCCGCTCCCTTCCTTGACCTCCAGGGCTGGGCCAGCTCCCCTCATCACCCTACAGGGTCAGGCCTTGCTCCCATCCTCGCCCTCCAGGTCCTGGAACCTGCTCCCCTCCTTGTGCTACAGGACCTGAACCCGCTTCCCTCCTTACCCTCCAAGGCATGGGTCCTGCTCCCATCACTGCCTTACAGGGCCTGACCCCGCTCCCCTCCTCACCCTCCAGGACCTGACCGGTTCCTCTCCTCGCCCTCCAGGGCCTGGGCCCTGCTCCCCTCCTTTCCTCCAGGGCCGGATCCGCTCCCCTTGCTGCCCTCCAGTGCAGGACGCTGCTTCCCTCTATGCCTTCCATTGCCCCGCCCTGATACCCTTGCTGTGCTCCAGGGGCTTACCCTGCTCACTTCCTTGCCCACCAGGGCCTGGGCTGTGCTCCTCTTGCTGCCCACCAGGGCCATGCCCCGCTCCCCTCCTCGCCCTCCAGGGCTAGGCCCTACTCCCCTCCTCACCATCCAGGCCAGGCCCTCCTCCCCACCTTCGCCTACAGGGCCTAGGACCTGATCCCCTCCCAGCCCTCCAGGGCCAGGCCCTGCCCCCTCTTTGCCCTCCAGGGCCGGCCCCCCTCCCCTAATCACCCTCAAGGACCAGGCCCAGCTCCCCTCCTCACAGTCCTGGGCCAGGCCCCCATCCTCTCCTTGCCCTCACGGGCCACTGAGTTCCCTTCGTCACCCTCCAGGGCCTGGTCCCCATCCCCACCTTGCCCTAAAAAGCCAGGTCATGCTCCCCTCAACGCCCTCAAGGGCTGGGCCCAGCACCACTCCTCATCCCACAGGGTCAGGCCTTGCTCCCATCCTTGCCCTCCAGGGCCTGGGCACACCACCCGCATCGCCCTCCAAGGCCTGACACTGCTCACCTCCATGCATTCCATGGTCTGGGCCCCGATACCTTCACTGCCTTCCAGGGCCTAGAACCGTTCCCCTCGCCAACGTCCAGGGCCTGGCCCCATTCCCCTCCTCACCCTCCAGGAACTGTCTCCGCTCCCCTCCTCGCCCTCCACATCCGCACCCTCCATGGCCTGGCCCCCATTCCTTCCTAGACTTCCAGAGCCTGGGCCAAGTTCCCTCCTCGCCCTCCAGTGTTAGGACCTGCTCCCAACATTGCCCTCCAAGTCTGGGCCCAGCTCCCCTCCTCACCCTCCAGGCCCTAACCCAGGTCCCCTCCATGCCTTCCAAACCAGGCCCCGCTCACCTCCTCACCCTCCATGGCCTGGGCCCAGCTCCCCTCCTAGGCCTTCAGGACTGGGCCCTGCTCCCCTCCTCACAGTCCAGCGCCGGGCCCCACGTCCCTCAGGAACGGCCATCACTGCCCTCCAGGGATGGGCCCTGCTCCCCTCCTCACCCTCCAGGGTCAAGCCTTGCTCCCATCCTCACCCTCCAGGGCCTGGGACCCACTCCCATCCTTGGCCTCTTGGGCCTGGGCCCTGCTCCC